TTTGTTAATAAAATAATAATAATAATAATATAGAAACCATCTACTGCATTTAGGTTTGTGGTAAGATTGAAAAACACGTGTAAAATTTGAAGCAGCAAAAAGTTTGATGTCCCATAAACTTTCCCTAACACATCTGGTTGATTAATGACGGTTCTTGATGGAATGCAGTCTGACTGATCTATGACTCAGCTTTTTTATGGATGAGCTGATATTTAGGGGGACAAGCCCATAATGCAGCCAACTGTTGACATCAGTTTTCTAAAATAACATCATCATCAGCCCTGATTAGACCAATCCAGCCTATTATGGCAAACCATGCCTAATCTGCAACAACATAAATAATATTTGCTTTCACTTTTTCACCTAATACTTTTTATGCTAGGATATTCTATATGGTAAGATAACTATTAATAAAAACAAAGCACAGGTGTCTAAATCAGTAAATGTTACTTTATAACCATTTTGTGTAATCCTCGCCTATTTTGCATACCCAAATAAAAAAATATATAACTGAGGAACTGCAAACCCCAGTTTTATGTGTGATATAGTTTTAAAGCTAACACCTTCTAGTTTCTGAAAATATAAATTAAAATATATGACTAAAAACAGCCTAACCAGCATCAGTTCAAACATGACTCAAAGTTAGTTAGTTTTTTCTTCCCAAAAATAATAGGTCTTTTTTGAACAGCAGTAATAAGGACATGCCTGAGAACAGGTATGTCTCATTGTATTACATTTGATTTACATCATGTCAACCAAAACTGCTGAAAATGTCAGACCTCTAGGTATAACAGTTCCAGAGCTTTGGGGCTTTGAATGTTTGGTGTCACTGGGGTCCTCAAACCTCTCCAAATGTGTCAAATTTTGCCAATTGTGACTATGACCAGCTAAGTTTACTGATGTCAAAAAACAGACGTTATGTGGTGATTTTCTCATCATGGAATGTTTTTTAGATCATCTATGGTCATGAACTCTGGGTCATGACCGAAAGAACGAGATCGCGGATACAAGCGGCCGAAATGGGTTTCCTCCGTAGGGTGGCTGGGCTCTCCCTTAGAGATAGGGTGAGAAGCTCGGTCATCCGGGAGGGACTCGGAGTAGAGCCGCTGCTCCTCCACATCGAGAGGAGCCAGTTGAGGTGGCTCGGGCATCTGGTTAGGATGCCTCCTGGACGCCTCCCTGGTGAGGTGTTCCGGGCACGTCCCACCGGGAGGAGGCCCCGGGGAAGAGCCAGGACACGCTGGAGAGACTATGTTTCTCAGCTGGCCTGGGAACGCCTTGGGGTTCCTCCTGAGGGGCTAGAAGAAGTGGCTGGGGAGAGGGAAGTCTGGGCCTCCCTTCTTAGGCTGCTGCCCCCGCGACCCGACCCCGGATAAGCGGAGGAAGATGGATGGATGGAATGTTTTTTATTATGAATATGCTGGATTACTTTTTATCTGTGGACCCTGATGGACGAATGGAGTATAAACAATTGAAGGTTGGATCTATAAAACGGCTTCTGGACGCCTTCAAAGCTATGTGTTTGTGGCTCATATTTACGTTTTTACCATGCCGCTATATCTGTGTTTATTGTTCTTTGGTGCTCACTTTGTCCATAAAATGAACTGGATGCTTGAATTATGGAGAATCTAAGCTTTCTAAGGATGCTTAACATGTCTATATTCGTAAACATTTTCATGCGCTCTGAGTTGTTAGTTGTAAACGCATTAAAACGGTAGCCGTCAGCTGGGTGGGTTTTAAGCTTTGATTTATTTCTTGTTGTTAACTCACTTAAATGTGAAATAAGAAGAAAAGTTTAGAAGCTTATGAATACAATTTACAGAGTTACAACTTTGCAAAATTACAAGTAAGGATAAAAAGTTTACAAATACAAACCCAATGGAACTGTGGATTGTGTTAATATATCCAAAATTTGTTCACAAACCACCTTTAAAAAAGAAGAAGAGAAAGAAATAGAAAATAAACCATCAATCAACTCTTATGTCGACTGAAATGTAGTCTTTAATGCGGAGGTCTTCAACAGGGGATCTGCGACCCTTAGGAGGTTCATGGAGGTACTGAATGGGGGTCACAATAGTTTTGGTTGATTAGACTTTTTTTTTATTTTCCCCCCTGCAATTTTTTCCACTAATTGAAATGTCTTTAAATCCACATTAACATGAATTCATCACCCTAACCCATCTTTCAGTCATCAATGCTCACATTCAGCAACACACAGGAGCTCTTTCAAGCTGGACACCGTTTCATTCACAACACCTGTCCCATCAACAAAGAACCAGAGTCAGAAGTACTTTAATAATCCCAGGGTGAAATTACTTTCGTTACATTACTCCATCTGTAATAGAGTGACTATAGGACCAGTTTGATATGACACAATTTCTTACAATATATATAATTAGGGGGTACCTGCTCCATCTCGCCATCAGTTTGGGGTCCTAGGCCTGGAAAATGTTGAAGATGCTTTAATGCATAGGCAGTATAATGTCCGACCGATGTTTCTGTTTTCTTCTTCTTCTCTTTCAAATGCTGTTGGTGAACAACTTTTAGATGCATTACCGCTTAACAACTGGTAAGGAGAGTAACAGCTTTATTGAAGGCTATTTTATCTGTTCTTGTCATTTATGCTTCCTCTTGTAAATTTGTGATTTGCTCTTGTAAAGTTGTATTATTTCTAAATTTGTGATTTTTCTTTGCATCTTTTCTTAAAGTTGTAATTCCGTAACTTGTATTTGTAGCTGATCTTCTCACAACGGGTGTCCCAATACAACTAATTTATTCCAGATATGATAGCGATAATGCAGCTTTGAATACTGACCAATACCCATATTGACCTGATAGGATAAATGAATAATGAACAACGCTCATTCCCTAACACATAAATAAACCATGAAATAACACTAAGGATACATTTTATGGGTAAAAGAGGATTCTTCCCTACTTTTCTTTTAAAGGTAGTGAACAATTCCTTGCTTTTTATCTCTTATACATAACAGATAAAAGGCAATTGTTGGGATCCGGAGGTTTGCCCACCAGAGGGCGCCAAGGATCCCTTCCTGAGGGCTTGTGCTCACCTGCCACCACCTGTTGCTCATTTGCTCATCAGGAGACCAGTATATAAGGAGGCAGAGGACATCACTCCAGCGCCAGAGTGTTTGGCAGTTATGGTTAGCAAGCCTGAGCCAACCTGCCTGTCTGAATCCAAGACTCCCTGAAAACCTGAACCAGAACCTGATCTGTTTTGTCTTCTCTGCTTCCCAGGTTGTACCTGTCTGAAACCAGAAACCCTGAAGAGTTCCTCTGTTGGAAATCTGTCTGTCTGATCCCTGAAGAACTCTGGAGAATCAAACCAGTCGAAGACCTGCCTGCCTGCTCTCTGAAGAACCTGGAAGGGAAACTCAAACCCGTGATCTGCAAACCAAGCTCTGCCTCCACCAAGCCCTTACCCTGCCGCCTGCCTCTGGACCCTCCTGGTTCCCCCCCTCTGCTGCTCTGCTCAGACTCCTGAACAGGTACAGACCTGCACCTTCACATCCTGCAAATTACCTGGACATCAGCTAACTCCTCTGTCCCCCTCTGCTGTGAACCCAGTCGTGACCAGTCCTGGATCTGATAACCCCCTGACCTGTTTTTGTACTCTCTTTAATAAACCTTTGAACTTTTCCCAGTCTCTGAGTGTGTTCTGCATATGGGCTAGAATCCTAAACCCATCATGACAGCAATGGGAGCTTGGTAAAATCTGAGGTTGGAGTTAATGATACTAAACAAAACATTAATTTTAACAAAAATAGATAAGAGAGCAACTCACTAATTTATTATTAACCACTGGGTTAAATAAACTTTAATCAGAAGTGGAGTGTTTCAGTCAGCCTTTCAATATTCTGATATTGGGAATTTGGCTGATATCCGATATCAGTATCGGATTAGGGAATCCCTGATTCTCACAGCTGAAACATCTGATGTCCAGGGATCAGTGGTGATTAGTTACATTTATTTGAATAACTTTTTAACAAAAAAATGTGGTAAAATTTTACTTATTGCAGCATATGTTTTACTTTAATTAAGTAATATTTTCAGAAACTCTTACGTTAGTGAAATACTTTGGCTTTTCTACCCACTGTAACTTTACTTAATAAATAACAAGCACATTTTAAAGTTTCATTAAAATGAGTAATCTTCTTGTTACAAAATCTTTGTTTTAATTCTACTTTTATCTTCTCACACCTTTATGACATGGAAGTCGAGGTCGTAGCCTATATGATAAAGGTTATATATTTTCACTTTTCACTATTCTTCTCTGTTTTATCAATCATAATTGATATACTGTTACAGATGGTTTCATGTGTTTTTTTTAGCCTGATTATAATTTGTTTGATTACTTTTTTTTGTCTTTAAAAAGGAATTTGCATACTTTTATGATTGATCTTTTTACATAATTTTAAATAGCAGATACTTAATGATTGATTGTCCCCTTTTTTAACACTTTTTTCACTCTTAAGGACTTTTTTCAGCTACGTATTACTTTTATTTTAGTAGAAATATGTTGATGGAGAGCTACTTTTACTTAAGTACAATTTCCTGGAACTCTATCTCTATTGGTGTCACATATATGTAGGAGTTGACAACAAGGACCGAATACTGATCTTAAATATGCTCTCGTTAATAGACTTTCATTTATAAATTCAAACACATTTTTATTTCCACTTATCTCATAATTTTTCACCAATTCATTTTCCTTTTAGCCTTCATTAATGAAGTCAGTTCAGCATAGCACTGCTATGATCCTTTAGTTACATTTCTTCTCTGCATTAAATGTGTTTAATTAAAGGGTTTTATGGGTGTCAGGGATTAATTTGTCCCCCTGACTGGCTTTTCACTCCACATACCTCAGAAAGTGTCTGCCTGGAGGGAATGGGGGGGCTTTGTAGTAAAGGAGACACCCACAGGCAATGGGAGCTTGGTGCAGGCGTGGAGTATAAAAAGGCAGTTCAGATGTAGAGTAAGAGAGAGCAGGCTCGTGCAGTGCATCAGGCTAGGCTGCTGCTTAACAAGGAGACTCTTTAGGTACACAGCTTGTGTTGCTCTGCAAAAATTTGGATTCATTCAAAAGCAGCTGTTGTTTTCCTGCGACTTCCAGCTGTTTGCTAAACTGGCAGTGATCCTCAACATCTCCATGGATCCCATCTTAGCATGGTAGGTGAAATAATTTAAGTAATACTGATGTTCCTCAATGTAAAAAAAACAAAATGCAGATTTTCAGGAAAAAAAAAAAAAAACATATTTAAAACCTGTTTTTAATTATTTTAATCCGGGTTTGAAAGTTCCTTCCCAAAAATTGTTTGCATCTCAAAGTAGAAGGTTTAATTGGAAGAAAACATGTTTCAACAATATCAACGGAGGAAAAAGGCACCAAAATTTTAAGATAAAGCTTGAAGAAGTAAAGTGGAATTTAGCTGATTATTGATCGTCGCTCATCCAACAGAAACACCGTTTTCCTCAGAGTGTTGCTCATCCTGTTTTGAAGAATTGGCCTGCCTCTCCTGTTGCTGAAACTCTTTGCTACATTTTACAGGAATGCATCCTTTGTGCTGAACAGCATTGCTGTCAGGACTTGTTCGGGATCCCGTCGTTATGTAGAAAACAAAATTCACACAGAGCTGCAGAAACTAATAAAGTGGAAAAGGCTGAATGTCTAAATTAGACAAAAGTGGCTCAGAGGATTTGAAATCAATATTTGATCAAAGCAAAAGAATGAAAAAAGAGAAATGTTTTTATTTTAATCTTTGTTTTTTTATTCTTCACATGCCAATATTCATACTTTTCGAGCAGCTGTGGAGGCGGAGGGTGTGGATATGGTTTGAGTGGAGAGATTTTTGCCTCATGAGCTTCCTTTAAGGTCTACATTTCTATTATACATGTGTTTTCAGAAAATACAAAACTTTTCCTAATATCTTAGGAGTTATTTGCTCTTTAAAAATCTATTAGAAAAACACTTTTCCACAGGCTGCCACCTTTAATAACCCCACATTAAGAATAAAAGAACCTTTCAGAGTTGTTTCCATAATCTTTTATTATTTTTGTATTCATTTTTTGACTTTTTTCTTACACAAATTCCTCCTCAAAGGGTCTTTTCTGGTGTTTTGTACGGCTGCAGTGAAGGCTGAGTCATAGAGGGGAAAACAGCGCCTGCATTTCAGTAAAATTTGTCAACAAATATATGGAAGAGGGGTTTCTATAGAGGACCAGCAGAGTCACAGAAAAATAAATAAAGCCATTTTAGATGTAATTCTTAAATCATACAGTTAGAATTCCAATTTGAAAAACATTTTTTTAATCTTAAATTAAATAATTAAAGAGGAATTGTTCAATTGTATTTATTTATCTATTAATAAACCTTGTAATATGAAAAAATATTTATAAATCCAATTTATGAGCCGAGATTTAAAAATCATAAACCATAAATTTTATCATAAATCTCTTTCCTTATAAAATGTTTAAAAAGATAATGTCCTTTTTATTTTTTGTCATGCATTATTTTCCTTATTGCAACTGCATTTTTTTTCTATTTTACCATCTCTAGTAAGCTGTTATGTGACCCTTCTGGTCCCTGAGCAAACTGAAAACCATGATCAACCAATCAGAGTTGCTTTTTGGATGCAACCAGTTCTCTCACTGGTTAGAGACCAGAAGGGTCACATAAAAAAGCTAAATAAAGAAGAAAGAAAATATAAGTTAAAAAAAAATACATTTTCATATGTTTAATAAGGACAGGTTTTTATGAATGCTTTTTTTTTTCCTAATCTCAATTAAAAATATTTTAATTACTGTTTTTAATAATGGATTGATAATAACAATTTACAATTCCTCTTTAATAAGTCAATTAAAAATGTGCTAATACAAAATTTGACAACTAATTATATGATTAAATGTTTTATTTTAAATGGTTGTAGTTTTTCAGTGCCTTTTCTGGTCCTCCATAGATCAGTTTCCTGTCCCTCTTTTGATGATGTTGACCCAAAAATGCACACACCCCTAGATTTTTTCTTCTGTGAATTTTGAAAAAACAATCAATGCTTTATTACTTTGTTTATATCATAGGAGTACATTTATCAGCTTTAAAATCTTGTAGAAACAAACAGGAAAATCTTGCTTTCATCCTACAGAATGACTAAAATCAGGCTTTTTCCCCTTCTTATCAGTGTTGCTTCACATAAAGAAACCACATGAAATGCCGGACTCCAACTCCTCAGGCGTCTTCAGCGACTTTAACGGCAGCACCATGTCACCTGACGTGGACTGCCCACACAATGGGATCTCTTCAAACCCCATCAGCGCCAGCCTCACAATGACTCTGGGCATCCTGTTCAACGTGGTGGCCCTCATCATCCTCATTAAGGCCTACACCCGCTTCCGGCGGCGCTCCAAGGCGACCTTCTTGCTCTTCGCCAGCTCCCTGGTGGTCACAGACCTTACAGGACATGTGGTCTCTGGAGGACTGGTGCTGAGGAGATACTCCACAGCCAATCTAACATCCCAGGAGGTCCAAACGCATCCAGACACTCCGTGTCAGTTCCTGGGAGGCTGCATGGTGTTTTTCGGCCTGTGCCCGCTCTTTCTGGGCTGTGCAATGGCTGCAGAGCGCTGCCTTGGTGTCACCAAGCCTCTGCTGCACGCACGGCTGGTGACCACAGCACGGACCAAAATAGCCCTGTCTATGATCTGGTTCCTGGCTCTCTGCGTAGCCCTGCTGCCTGTATTCCAACTGGGGGAGTACACTTACCAGTACCCTGGAACGTGGTGCTTTATTAAGGTGATGGACAATAATGCCAAAGATCTGACCTTTGTGATGCTCTTCTCTGGACTGGCTTTAAGCTCTCTCGCTCTGGCCTTCATCTGCAACACCATCAGTGGGATCACACTTATCAGAGCCAGGCTAAAGAACTCCTACTCACAGAGGTTCTCTGCAAGGTCTCATGACACAGAGATGGTGGTCCAGCTGGTTGGAATCATGGTCACCTCCTGCATCTGCTGGAGCCCTCTGCTGGTGAGTCTGAGGAATCTCAACTCAGAATATAGGGATACAATTTAATGTTTAATGAATAGGTAAATATTTATACCACTATTAAAGATATAATTAAAAAGAGTTTTTTTTACTGAGGTACCATACAGGTCAGTTTCTGGGTTTGTTGTATTTTTGGACAAGTGAAAATATGTAGCAAAAAAACAACAAATTGTTTTAATATGAAATATTAATTCAAGTAAAAAAAATGTGGAAATACCAAATTAACTTAATAAATTAACTTAACAACATCAATAAATTGAATTTCTCCATTGTGAGATCAATATTCTATTCTATTCTAAATTATTATATGAATAAAGTCAAATAAAGTAACCTGCACAGTTTCCTAATGTCTCCTAATTATGTATGAGGGACAAAAAACACCAAAAGAAAAGAAATACATATTTAATTGTATAAATAAATAGATAAATCATTATATGTATACATACATACATACAACCAATCATGTGGAAGAGAAATGTTAGAACCCTCCACCTCATTAATATACAGGGAGAGAAATGTAGAAATACCAAAAAATGTATAGGATTATATATGTATTTATTTATTTTTTTGTTTTGTCAATTTTCATCTCTCACAATTATCAATTGTTTATTGTTGGTAATATCTTTGTCAAGCAGGAGTTTCCCGTAGTTTATTTCAATCTGATGAGAGATTTGCCAAATTTAATCATTCTTAGTTTAAGTTCTAATTTCTATTTAGAAAGTATGAAGTAAAAATTTCATCTAATTAATATTATGTAGAGCAGATGGATTTATACCCTCCGTTCAGCTAAAATTAAAAACTTATTTAGAGCCTTAAACATGACATGAAAATAAAGAAAATATATATATTTTTTGTTGGTGTTTTAAAAGAACGTCTTTTTTTACTGTCAGGATTTAGAACAAAAGAAAAGCAAAATATAAAGCTTTTAAAAATGGAATAATACATTTTCCTTCATATGATGTTGATATTTGTGGAAATTTAGGCTAAAAAAAATAAAAATGATCTAGAATAGATCTACTGGAACTTTTAATGTTATTCTGTCATCGATATTAAATTAAAATATTCCGCTAAAAAGGAAAAACCTGCTTTAAGTGACATTTGTTATGATATCTATATTTATATTAAAAACTTGGTTTTAGCCTCCTGCTCCAGAGTGCATTTAAGAACTGGATAAACATTATTTATGATATATAACTGAAAATGTAATCTTCCTTAAGATGTTGCAAGGTAGTAACCAAACAGGAACCAATTCAGAAATCTCTTTAAATCCCGACTCTCCAACAATTCATTCCTCGTCCGCACCTTTAACACCACCGCATCCTGTCAGTGAGGGACAGGCAGGCAACAGAAAGACATACATGAGGAAGAAATGCACAATTGTTAGTCAAATATTAGAGAGATCAGTTAGCTTTCTAACATTGCATGTAAACGGAGAGCATGCAAAATCCATGCAAAAAGCCTTCAGGGCCTTCTTACAGCAAAGGAACACCGCTAACAGCTGCACCGCCCTGCAGCCCATTATCACCTATACAAACTAAATTATCTTTTATTTATACAGTCTTATTGAATATGAATGTTTTGAGTATTTCTGCTGAAGGTTAACATGTGGATTTGTTGCTGAAAGGAAATGTTCTGGTCAAAATAGAAGCCTGGTTAGACCAAACTATCCTTCAGTAAGGCCTGATACCATGAAACACTTTCCATAAACTATTTGGATGCCAGGAATATTCAGAATTTTATGCAGTTTTAAGTCTTTGGTTTGAAATATAATATAGATAAAATAGCATTTGGCCCTCCTTGTAATCTCAGTTTCTTTACTAAATTACCTTCTAAATTTCTTCCAAGATAATTCCCTTAAAAACAAAACTTTTCTTAAAAATGTAAACAGAGGAGATATTTACTTCCATTTCTGATTTATAATTAAGCACATATGCAGTTCCCTGTCTTTGTTTTCCTTTCACTGTTTAGTCAGAATAATCCTCCCTATGATGAATCAGTTGGATGCGGTTCATGAATTTCAAATGTTTAGACTTAATTTATTGCCCAGATTCTGTGAGGCTGGGAAATTTATTTAGACAGAAATAAAGGAAAGGAAATGAGAGAAATAGATAGCAATCCATTCTTTCTTGTGTTTTTTTTTTTTTTATTTCAGCTTCCAGGAAGAAGTTTTAGGTTTATGTTAAGATGCAATTCAGTTTTGCGTTTAAAAAAAATGTACAATTGATCTAATAAAGTATAGATATTTAAGGCTGGATTTAAACAAAAAAGGAAAGTCTTAAAAAATGCATGTTTTTCCTAGTCCTTAGCAATAAGTCATGTCCAATCACATTCCTCTCCTAACTCTGCTGCTCCTTTTTCCAAACAGCTTCCATGTGTTTTACTGGAAGGCTATTTGGAAGTTCAGCTTCTCACACGCAGCTCTTCTTTTTTTCTTTTCAGGTGTCTTCGTTGATGTCAGGCGTGCGTTCTTACAGCGAATCCCACCTGAGCGAGGAGGTAACCTGCACTTACAGCAAACTCATGATGACCAGTGTCAGAATGGCAACTTGGAATCAGATCCTGGACCCCTGGGTCTACATCCTGCTGAGACGAGCCATCCTACGAAAAATCTACCGCATCACCAAAAAGCAGGCCAGCTTCAAGGGGAGCACCTTTCGCTCCGTCCGCTGGGACGTCAGTTCGCTCCGCAATAATCCCCAGAATATCCCTGTGAAAAACATTTAAAAGGAAGGAAGGACTGAGATGTTGAACAGTGAGATCAGTGTCACTGTCATCCATTTGGAGCAGAAGTGAGAAGCAGAACCAGAGCTATAAGTTCTGCCTTTCAGAGCTCCTATGAGTACACCTCACTCTGACTTTTGTAAATAAAGTGATTCTGGTTGACTAAAGGTAGCATTTTACATAGATTTTCTATGTATGAGCAAACATGGCGCTAAGAAAAAGGTGGATCGCCCAAAAAGACATTTGATTCCATCACTTGGGGAGCTTTCACATCGAACACTGATGGTTTCATGATCTACACTGCAAAAAAATCTGAATCTAGTTAAGTCATTTTTTCTTAAAATAAGTGTATTTGTTCTTGAATTGAGGAGGTAAAAGAGACATTTTGCCAATGGAACAAGACAATTTACACTTAAAATAATGAAAACAGATGCATTGTCTTATTTCAAGTGCATATCATCTAATTATCTTATCTTAAGAGTAGAATTACTCATTCCATTGGCATACTATCTCATTTACCTACTCAAATTAAGGGTGAATACACTTAATTTAAGAAATGTTTACTTATTTCTAGATCGTTTTTGCAGTGTAAGCTTCTGATCTCATCAACAGGAAGCTATGATCTTCTTATTATATACTGTTGAAGTGCAATATGAGACAAATGATACAGATTTACAAAGATCTGAGTTTCGTCCCCATTAGCTAAAATGAAAAATAAACCATTGAGGTTATTGTTACTACCTATATTAACCGTTTGGTTGTTATTGATAACCAGCAATGGTTAGTTGATCAAAATTTCTTCCAGTGGAAGATTTAACCAAGAGAGTGAGACAAGCATTAACTGAGAGCAGTGATGCCGCTAGTGGTGGGTTTAAAAGGCGATATGGTCCCAGGTTTCATGAAGTAACAAAGAAAATATAAGAAATATGTTTAATGGACATATCGAAACAAAGCAGCACTTTTTTAAAACCTCTATGAGCAATGTGACTTTAAGAAAAAGAAAAAAAACTTGCAGCTTTACATTTGAATACACTGTATAAACTGATGGGTTATAATTAATCCAGTTAGGGTTAAAAGATAAAACTTTATCATCCATATAAGAGGAAATTTTGTTAACATAATCTGCTAAACAGACTTGGTGATGATTTGACACAGTAGAGAGGGTTAGGCTTAAACTTCGAAAATGGGTAAAATGAATAATGTCTATAGAAAAACCAAAAACCTGTTAGAATAATTGGATTGGATTGGATAATAACCCAGAACAAGAAGAATTTGATATTTTTTGGTTAAAGATTTCCGTCCATCCATCCATCCATCCATCCATCATTCATCTGTCCATCCATCCATCGATCCATCCGTCTGTCCATCGATCCATCCATCCATCCGTCTGTCCATCCATCATTCATCTGTCCATCCATCATTCATCTGTCCATCCATCCATCCATCATCCATCCATCCATCCATCCATCCATCCGTCTGTCCATCCATCATTCATCTGTCCATCCATCCCTCCATCCGTCTGTCCATCCATCCATCCATCCGTCTGTCCATCCATCATTCATCTGTCCATCCATCCATCCGTCTGTCCATCCATCCATCCATCCATCCATCCATCATCCATCCATCCATCCATCCGTCTGTCCATCCATCATTCATCTGTCCATCCATCCATCCATCCGTCTGTCCATCCATCCATCCATCCGTCTGTCCATCCATCATTCTTCCGTCCATCCGTCCGTCCGTCCATCTATGCATCCATCCAGTTTTCTTTTTGTTGTTTTTTTTTGGCAACAGTTTCCTTTGGATGATTGTATTCATGCTTAGTGTGTAACACTCTACTGTTGTTCACTTTATGGCTATTTCTTGGCTAAGTGTCTACGCTGAACATAGCTAGCATTAGCTATTAATAGTGTTGCACCGATTCCAGTATCGGGCGGGGCCCTGATCCAGCACTAAAATGGCGGTACTGATATCGGCGAGTACCAACAAATAGGGCACTGATACCATTTTGAGAGCCAAAAGTTTATTTAACTGTTGTCACCCATCAGACGTGGGCAATGTGGACTCAACAAGTCATCTCCATTCCATGTATTGGTTCTACCCAGCCACTAAAGCAGGTGAGTCCAATCTTCACCGTGAATTAACCCGTGCAGATTGGACTCACCTGGTTAATTGGCTGGGTAGATTAAATACATGACATGGAGATGACTTGTTGACTCCACATTGCCCATGTCTGTCACCCATTCAAGGTAGGCAATAAAAAGTTCTACTGGATTGTATTAGTCTTTTTCCTGCTTCACTAAGGTAGGCAGCAGCTTCATAAAGCCATGATGGCAATTATTTTACATCCAAGTAGTATGCAGTTCTTCATATATACACACACATATCAATTTCAAACAGATGGTATCGTTATGAAATCGGTATCGGCCGATATTGCACAGCCAAGTATCGGGTACCGGGGCCAAAAAATGGCATCGGTGCAACACTAGCTATTAGCAGGTAATGTTATTAGAAAGGAAGTGGCTACTTTGAAATAAAACAGCCCACTAATTAAACCATTATTAAACCTCATCATTTCTCAGATTCAGCCTTTCTTATTTTATTTTTATGAAAATCTACTTTGATCAGGTTTTTAAGCTAAAGATGGTAAATTTGTAAAGGCCAAGGCTTCATCAGGCCTTTAGTCTAACTAAAAAAACTGATCAGAACTCTCCCGACAGCATGTTTTCACCACTGGATTAAAAAAACAAAATGTTGCTAAAAAGAATCAGTCGGCTCTGGACCGTATTAGAAAATATATTCCAAAGATATAAATAGAAAATATATTTAGAGCTACTAACTGGAACAAATCTAAAGTAAACAAGTATATGCAGCATCACTGCTTTGTGAAGCAAATAAAAAAAATTTTTTTTTTTTGTAAATTGATGTAGATATTGTAGATTAATCACGTGGCAGGGGCCAGACCCCTGTACTGGAATCGTTTAGAAAAACGTGAAGGATGGTTTAAAAAGCCTAGAAGACCAAGGAGCTGAATTTCTGTTAAAAAAAAAAACAGTATCTAATACTGAATTTATTTCATCATCAAAGATGGTGCCCTCAATATTCATTTGCAGCCCTTAAAATGTGCTTAAAACATTGAATAAACATATCTAATGCAGCAGCTGATTTCCAAAAATTTGGAAATAAGGAAATCTAATATTTATTTAAATTGATAATACTTACAAAGTTGTTCAGTAATAACTATTTCATTTTACAAAAATGAGTCACAGTTAATGATGGCTCCAACAATCCCCTTTAAAATAAATGATAAGTGCAACTTTTCTGTAGTCTGTGGATAAAACCAGTTCATCTAGACTGACTTTTTGTTTGATGTTACACAGGTTTTTTTATAGTGAAGGATATAAAAAGAGATAAAAGAAATTTCCAAAGCTCATTACTAAAAAACTGCAACAGATGGTAAAGTCACCAAGTCTCCATAGCAACAATTAGATGATCCACAAATTGCTGGAAGAAGGTGGAGGATCTGTGATGCTGTGGGCCTGAGAAACGTGTCAGCATGTTACAGGTGCTGGTCATAAAATTAGAATATCATGAAAAAGTAGATTGATTTCAGTAATTCCATTTAAAAAGTGAAACTTGTATATTATATTCATACATTACATACAAACTCATATATTTCAGATGTTTATTTTGTTTAATTTTGATGATTACAAATGACAACAAATGAAAATCTCAAATTCATCATATCAGAAAATTAGAATATTACTGAAGACCAATAAAAACAAAGGATTTATAGAAATGTTGGCCAACTGAAAAGTATGAACATGAAAAGTATGAGCATGTACAGCACTCAGTATTTAGTTGGGCCTCCTTTGGCCTGTATTACTGCAGCAATGCGGCGTGGCATGGAGTCGATCAGTCTGTGGCACTGCTCAGGTGTTATGATAGCCCAGGTTGCTCTAATAGTGGCTTTTAGCTCTTCTGAATTGTTGGGTCTGGTGTATTGCATCTTCTTCTTCACAATACCCCATAGATTTTCTATGGGGTTAAGGTCAGGAGAGTTTGCTGGCCAATTAAGAACAGGGATACCATGGTCCTTCAACCAGGTACTGGTAGCTTTGGCACTGTGTGCAGGTGCCAAGTCCTGTTGGAAAATGAAATCTGCATCTCCAAAAAGTTGGTCAGCTGCAGGAAGCATGAAGTGCTCTAAAACTTCCTGGTATGTGGCTGCGTTGACCCTGGACCTCAGAAAACACAATGGGCCAACACCAGCAGATGACATGGCACCCCAAACCATCACTGACTGTGGAAACTTTACACTGGACTTCAAGCAACGTGGATGAAGTGCCTCTCTTCTTTTCCTCCAGACTCTGGGACCTTGATTTCCAAAGGAAATGCAAAATTTACTTTCATCAGAGAACATGACTTTGGACCACTCACCAGCAGTCCAGTCCTGTTTCTCTTTAGCCCAGGCAAGACGCTTCTGACGCTGTCTGTGGTTCAAGAGTGGCTTGACACAAGGAATGCGACAGCAGAAACCCATGTCTTTCATACGTCTGTGTGTGGTGGTTCTTGAAGCACTCACTCCAGCTGCAGTCCACTCTTTGTGAATCTCCCCCACATTTTTGAATGGGTTTTGTTTCACAATCCTCTCCAGGGTGCGGTTATCTCTCTTGCTTGTACACTTTTTTCGACCACATCTTTTCCTTCCCTTCGCCTCTCTATTAATGTGCTTGGACACTGAGCTCTGTGAACAGCCAGCCTCTTTAGCGATGACCTTTTGTGTCTTGCCCTCCTTGTGCAAGGTGTCGATGGTCGTCTTTTGGACAACTGTCAAGTCAGCAGTCTTCCCCATGATTGTGTAGCCTATAGAACTAGACTGAAAGACCATTTAAAGGCTTTTGCAGGTGGTTTGAGTTAATTAGCTGATTAGAGTGTGGCACCAGGGGCCATCAATTTTGAACCTTTTCACAATATTCTAATTTTCTGATATGATGAATTTGAGATTTTCATTTGTTGTCATTTGTAATCATCAAAATTAAACAAAATAAACATCTGAAATATATGAGTTTGTATGTAATGTATGAATATAATATACAAGTTTCACTTTTTAAATGGAATTACTGAAATCAATCTACTTTTTCATGATATTCTAATTTTATGACCAGCACCTGTATATTTCAGTGTGACGCTGACAATTTAAAGATTGAATTCACCCAGGAAGGCCGGTAAATGTGAGAGGGGCACAGTAACACTATTTTACCTTATTGTTTAAGGTTTTTTCTTAATCTTGAATAAGGTCACACTCATGCTTAAGTTTTTGTTTTTTATTGTAAAGATGTAAAACTGTCACTGTAAATAAAGATAATGTTGGTTGTACTTTA